TGGGAATATCGAGGCAACACCAGTATCGTCCTCATCGAACACATTCTCCGGAAGAATATGGCCATCGGAGTCATCCACGAACCTTCACGTGAGTCGGACATGAAATCAACGAAGGAGTGATGAAATTCTTGTCGAAACGCTTTCGAAAATTGGCAAAAAAAATCGCATTCAAATCCCTTCGAGGTCGTATTTTCGACATACATGAAAAAAGAACATTGTGTTCACGATTCAATTGATTAGAAACGACTTACAGTTCAGTGAAATAAAATGGGAATATCCTGCAATTCCCTATATGTGATTGCCATTATTCGAGCTGCTTTTCTGGTGCCTGGCAAATAATAAAATGACGTGATTTATTCAGGAAGTTCAGGTTGTCCATTATCTGAGAAGTCCATCAACCGAAAATTCGGTGTTGATACAGTGCCTATTAGCCTTGAAGGACTGACTTTTTCCACCCTGTTAAAATTCACTCAATCAACTTAATTATACGAGGATTGGTTCATAAGTTTTAAGACCTTTTGAATGAGATTCAGTGGAGATTCAACAACTCCAATTTCTTTTCTTACTTGCATAGCCCCATCATTTGGCCATATACTTCAGTGTTATTCAACATACTCTCTGGCAGTTTCAATCCATTTTAATTCATTTTCCAAAACTTGATTTTGGCACTGATGTTCTAATCATTAGATTTATGGCATGAAAAATGCATTGAATTCAGAGTTGAGTATATGTTGAACAGTAGTAAAGTGTTGCAAAATGCTGTTGGGGCCATGCGAGTAATAAAATATTTTTAATCGTTGAAACTCCACTGGATCTTTTTGAAAAACTCTCAAAGTTTATGAAACAACCCTTGTAGTGTATTACAATGCCTTAACACGCGGTTCATGTAAGATAACACTGAAGTTCTGACAAACGAGAAAGACGAGAATCCTAATCTCACGAAGATGAAACGAAGCTTTGCTTTGTGACTTTGAATTGTAAATGTAAAAAATAAAAAGAGAAACACAAGTACTTGAAAAAGAACCTGGAATATTAGCAACACTTTGTTATTGTTGTCGTCAGACAAATGCAAAAAATACTGAAGTTTACGCTAGAACTCGAAGAAGACATTGAAGAGCACCCACGTGACTTTGATTGATGAGCTTGTAATTTGAGGTACAGACTTTCTCCTAATTCAAATGAAGAAACCCTATTACCAGCCAATTTTACCATAATATTTTGCAGAAATTGTATATTTTGAACAATCCCGTGGCATTATGCTCATTTTTGCCTGATCTAGGGCAAATGGAGACAGGGACAAGTCAAAACAGAAACATTTGGATACAGGGACAATTTGAGACAGAAACTTTTGACATAACAGGGAGAAATGGAGACTTGAAACTTTTCAAGACAGGTAGAAATTGAGACAGATACATGTTGAAAATTCAACACATTTTGAGACAGAGACAAATTGAGGCAGATACATTTTGAGAATTCCAGACATTTTGAGGCAGAGACTGATTGAGACAAAAGGACTTTACTGTGTTTATCCATAATACATCTTAAAGTGAAGGTGTGAAAAGGACCATGAATTGCACTGTTTGATGAAAAGGATTTTGATGAATTACAATTTTCTGCCAGATGAAAGTATATGTCCACAAGAATAATTAATTCCTATCCAAATGAAGAGAGCAACCTTCTTTGTTTCTTTTGAAGTTTTTTTTTGGGAATAATAATCAGTGCGCTTTGTGAGATACATAAATAGGCTTTTGATATGCATGAATACCTATTCAATGGGAATCTGCAGTTGCTTTGGAGCTGTCTGGAACTGTCCCTGTCTGAAATTAACCCTGATGTCTTTAATAGTCCCTATCTCAAATCGCAGACTGGATTTGTCAGTACTGTACAGTTTTTTTTCATGGCAAACATTCAATTTATTGCGCTTCAATCGGAATTCTTGCTTGCATTTTTGAAAATTTACCGGTCGACTGTTGTAAATTGAGACTACCACAAAATTATTTGCATTCTTCCCTTTTTAAATTTTTATTTTCCTGACACAGAACAACTCGTTGGCTGGTTCTTAATGCAAGAGACAGGATGCCAAGGAATCTTGCACGTGACGGAGGAACACAGAGGAAAAGGAATCGCTCAAGTACTGGTCCGGGAAATGCAAGAAACCCTTTTGGGTTTGAACCTCGAACCCGTGAGCGTCATCTTGGACACAAACGAACCCAGTTACCGTTTATTCAGAAAGTCTGGCTACGACGCTGAGCATTCCGTGTTTTGGGCTTTCCGAAAGCAGCATTTTTCCTGAAATCGTTTAGAACGGTATTGCATATATAAACATCATCTGTAGAGTGACGTCGAAAAAAAAATTTTCACCGAATTTTTGCGCTTCATGAACATTCAAATTTTGTTGCATTATTCGAAATCTTGATTATTCAATTACGGTGTATTGGTGAGTGTGAGTCCCCTTTCCCATAGATCCAATCCTGGCGTAAACCCCACCCAACTGATGTATCCAAATGATTTGAAATAAATTCCCAAAGAGGCATTTAAAAATATCGAATTAACTTGAATACTTTTTCGTGGAAAAATTAGTGAGCAAAATCAGGGTACGTCCAAATTAATGGATTTTATTATTTGTTAATAATAAATATTGCTTTCTTCCTTTTTATTTTCCTTTTTCTTTTTATTTCTTTTAAGGAGAAAATTATTAATGAAAGGCAATCAATAGGAAATTTAGGTCTATAAGAAATATGTTTTTTAAATTATTCATTTGTCTTGTACCAAATATAAAATTACATCAAGATCGCTTCTGATCAACAATACTTGTATAGACCCTCCAAAAATAAAATCTTTCGAAGGAAATAATTTCATTGATCGCCAAAGAGAACCCAAAAACTCCACATAAAGCAATGTTCGGTGTATATTTTCTGATAAAAGCCAGGTCACCAAATACAATCCATCAAATATCCACCTGATGAAAGAAAATCCAAGTAACTAACTTTTACATAAATGGGAAGGAATCGATGGAAGGAAAAACACCCACAACCCAAGAAAACCCCTCAGAGCTACATTTTGGAAGAATCTGTCCTCTTTCATAATACAATGGAAAAGTAATTTTTAAAAATAAATGCAATAATGTACTTCCACAGCAAGTGGAATATCTAGAAAGAACTTCTGAGAAACAAAGAGATATTACATGCACTGTTCATTGCCTCCTTTTTCCACAAGCAAAATAAAGAAAAAATCATTCAACCCATGACACAATATGACCTAATGTGAAAGTTTATCATGCTTACATTTTGGTCAACATCATGCTTTTCTGTCAGCTCCTCTATTGTGACCATGTATTGAATGTATCAGTTGTAAATAATGATCAGTTTCTAATACAGGCTGTGCTCAACTAATAAATTTTTTCCCAACTTATAGGCCTTGGTTCTCAGTTCATCAGAGGATTCAGAACTAATTCATTTCTAGTGCTCTTGATGGGCACAACATTTTGCCAATACACATCCCAACTTTTCTGCAGAAGGGTTAATAAAGGCTAACTTCTAGCATAGACGAGCCATTATTGCAATACATGCAATTGATAGACAAAACATAACATAATGTTCTTCAATTTAGTCTTATATATATGTTTTCTACTTAATTACAGTATTCTATTTGGCTTGAAGATTGACTGGCAAATTTCCTTGTCTAGATGATAAAGACAAAGTTCTAAAGCCCAAGGTGACACTGTATTATATAGAGACCATCTACTATTTGGCTGAATCTCCTCTGAGACAAAAAACCATTATCAAAGCATTTGTTGAAGATCTGTTCAGCAGTTGATCCAAGACAACCCGGGTATCACTGCGTGGCCTTTGGAAAACACTTGCTCATCACTGGCCCTGTTGAATCGCAAATAGAATAAAATCTCGGATTCCTTCTGGTGCCCTTCAGTCAAGCTACAATTGAGTCCGTTGTCCGGAACGTTGAAGTAATGA